TCCTTAAGTGATCTGGTGACGAAAATTTGCGAATCAGTCCTGAATTTTCATTAATAACAGTACGGCTCTAAAAATTTTAAATGTATTTCAATTAGGTCTCTAATTTAATTTCAAATAGGTCCCTAAATTTTATTTTTTAAAGTTGACCCGGAATCTTTGTGATAATTATAATTTAACCCCTAAAACTTTATTAATTTTGCAATTTTGCATGACATTTCCCTTATATCTACATCCCTTATCCCATATTCTACTATATGTACATCCCTTATCCCATACTCTCCCTATAAGTATATCTCTTATCCTATATTTCCCCTATATGTATATTCCTTATCCCTATGTGTGAGACATAACATTAGATTTGCATTTCATTTAAGAAAATTAGAATTAAGTTAGGTCATTTGCTTGACTAGATAGGAAATACCATTTGAATATGGGATATGAACGAGTGTGGCTTCTATAGGTTTAGCACGCTCGTATTCCCTCTATTAAAGAGAAAATTGAAATAACGAGTATTAGCTCCCCGCACCCATTATGATGCATTCCTTTAGGTAATGTATATTTGTATATCATTATTTTCTTCTCTTTTCTTTTACTTTCCTTCGAGTCTCATATTTTTGCACATTTGTGACTTCTTCAAAGAATCACATTTGGGCGTCGCAATTAATGCGATGCACCAATTAAAATTCGAAGAGACGTACTGACCCTTCCGATAACCATTAGGTTTAGGCTTGCATTCATATAGTGACATCCAAATGTGATAAATTTTTAGATTAAAATAAGAAAATTTTTGACTAAATCACGCAACTAGCTTTAGATTAGGTTGAAAGGGTGCTTTGGATTTTATCCTTGCCTTCCCTTTCTTCAAATGTGACTCCCGAACACTTTTCTCTGATTTCCGAAGACTTGGAGTCGTTTAAAAAGGGTTTTCTCTATTTTTTATTAAAAATTCATTTTAGGTGACTTGGTATACCTTAACTCAATACCAAGTGGCGACTCCTATTGTTTTTTTAAAAACCCTTTTTAAACTATATTTTGGGCCAAAAATCGTCGCACTTTTAAACCCCATTTTAGGCCCATTTTCTTTATTTATTTTCTAAAAATCAAACTCTCATTTTCACTCAAAATTAATCAAAAATTCATTTTTATAACACTTGATTTTTATTTTCAAAAATGGGGCACGACACAACTAATTCAAATTCTATTCATTACATTACAATACAAAATTCTTCCTTCCAATACTAATAAGAATTTCGTCTAGTATAATTAATCTTACATAGCAAATATTATAATGATATGCAACGCATGTGCATTTTACTAGTACTCTGTATATATTGTTTCTAGACATACTGATACTGGCCCATACTTGTTAGCTCTGATCCTAGAAAATTGACCAAGGAGAATAATAGAGTTTTTGATAACCTAATAATGACAATAACAAAGTAAATAAATCAAACAGAGAAACACAGAATTTTACGTGGTCCGGTCGAATTGATTTACATCCATTGGCAAAAGGGTAGCAGATTTACTATAATAAAGAGAGAGTACAAAACCTTAGAAAATAATTTCAGGGCTCAAAAGGTACCTAAAAACTAAAAATACAAAAGAGTCTAAATAGCACAAAATATTTAACGGCCCAAAGACCCATAACTTGTTCTTTTGATTTGAAAAAGACGCCAGGTCATATCCAACTTTAGCTTTCAGACTTATAAGCTATTAAAATTAGGGTTAAATACCAAAAACCACCATGTGATTTGCCTAATGTTCACTTTACCTCCCTATGGTTTGAAAACCTACAATTTGACTCCCTGTCATTTCAAATAAAGTAAAAGTCTAACGGAAAACATCTAAACTAATGTCTGAAAGAAAAATGTCAAAATTGCCCCTCTATAAGGGTTTTGGGTTAAGTATCAAAAACCCCCCTGTGATTTGTCAAATGTACACTTTACCTCCCTATGGTTTGAAAACATACAATTTAACTCCCTGTCGCTTCACCTAAAGTGAAAATCTAATAGAAATTCCGTTATATACACTTTAGTTGAAACGACAGAGAGTCAAATTGTAGGTTTCCAAACCATAGGGAGGTAAAGTGAACATTAGGCAAATCACAGGGAGGGTTTTTGGTATTTAACCCTTAAAATTATGTAGTTCGGCCGCACACACTTGGTCTATCATCTAACCAAAACTCCTCTTAGATTGGGGTGTGGACCCTTAAAATTCTCTTGGGCTGGTGTATTCAGAAATTGAGCTGATGTCCTTAACGCACTTAAATTCATTTAAACCCACTATATTTATAACAACCATAAGGACAGATTTCTTTGTAAAATTTTCGATTTAGGATACAAAGACAAACTCAACAATACTAAGTATAGCAACCGTTATAATGTAAATGACAACTAGGATTGATGAAGTTGTCGTTTCTGCTGTAGACAATTCCTGTGCATTGAGGTAGCAATGCAAATTAACATCATAGGTAGATAATAAATATGAGTGTGTTTATATGGTAAATCAAGTGTAAATTTAGGTTGTGCTAGTAAGAAAGTCCTTCTTTATCGTAGTTTTCAACAAGATAAAAGTCATTGGATTGATTGATTGATACCAAAAGCTTCCTCTTGCTTTGTTAATTGAAAGATAATCCAAATGATGTCAATTGCCCATATCGATTAGAAATCAGATCGAAAAATATTAAGTCACTGACGAACATCTTAATAGTTTAATAGTTCACCTTAAAAAAGAGAGGTAATTAACTCTTTGTCTCATTTTAGTGGACGAAAATGAAAATGACAAACATCTTTAATGTAGTCCTATCCTGTACCCGTTTGACAACAGAGCATGTTCCTTAACACAGTGTTTTGAAAACCGGACCGGACCGGCCGGTTCGATCGGTTGGACCGCGAACCGGCCATGGCTCCAGTCCGGTTCTATGCTATAGTTGACCAGGTTAGAAAACCGGTCAAAAATCGGTTAAACCGTAGAAACCGCCGAACCGGATTGAACCGGCGGTTTCTGGTTTTCGAGATTTTCCTTTTTTTTTTTTTTTTTTTACGTTTTGCAAAATACAACTATCAAGATTCGAACTCAAGATCTTTGTAATAAAAGACCAATGTAGTAACCATTGCACCATCACATCTTATTAGTTTTGTTTTGATAACTTATTTATATAAAACAAAAACTCATATTTCTTTTTTTCATTTTTTTTACAAAATCTAATCATCTCATGGCTCTTTCTTTTTAATCTTCAACACACACACACACACTCTCTCTCTCTCCTCTTTTTTTGTCACTCTCTTTTTAATCAAACCACTTTATTTTTAATTTATTGATGTTTTCTTCCATCTTTTAATTTTATTTTTGTCCATTAAATTGAAAAAGGTTAAAAAAGAATTATTTTTCTTTAACCCAAATTATTTAATGCCACAACCACTCACTTTTATCTCATTTTTTATTTCTTATCAAGTTTGCATTTCTATTTTCGATTCTCTTGACTTCTTTCGAACTCCAAAATTCCTTTTTTAAATTGCAATCTCTAAATCCCAACACGTAAATTAAAATTTTAGTTCACAAAATCTAAATTCTCATAGACATGAATTTTGTATAATTTTAAAATATTATGATATTTTTGGGTTAGATCTAAGATTTTTTTGGTAGATATAATTGAAATTGAAATGAAATTTATTTGTTTTAACTTATAATTTAAAATTTTTATTTTTAAAAAATCAAGTTATTCAAAAATAGTAAACTTTTCATCATATAATGTATTAATTAAATTAGTCCATTACATGTCTTATTTTGTGCATAAATATTTATATAAATTATTTTTTTTAAATTCATTGAACCGAGGTTGAACCGGTCCGACCGGTTGAACCTCGACCCTTTCACGTCACCGGTTCAATTAACGGTCCGATTTTTAAAACATTGCCTTAACACATTCTGTGAAAGGTTTTCGTTTAGCTCATGTCTGGGGGAAGAAGAAGGTGCTCATGAATTACTAGAATTACTTGATTCATGATTATTCATTTCGTCCAGGGAGCTGAACTCATCTCTGAAAGACTGTAGAAAATGAGCAATCTTGCTTGTCGTCCAAAAGATACCCTTTCGAACTCTGGGAACCCAGCTTACCTAAGGAAAAAAAAACCGTTACAAAAGAAAACGGTTGGTAGCACAGTGATTAAATTCTGTCGGCCGAATTACAAAAGCCACGAAAGTGATCACTCTGGTCGAACCCATATCCCAAACAAATCCTCATTCAATTGTAAATCATTCAAATAGTGGATTGATAATGATGTTAGTAGATTTGTTTTCAAAATTATCCTTGAAATTTTAAATTTTAAATTTGAATTTAATATGAAATATAGATAGAAATGGGAATAACATTGGAAAAAGAGATCAAAAGTAATTTTAATTTTAGTAAGATGACAAATATACGATATTCAAAAATAGATAGTATGACATTTTCAGTGGAACGAGGAATACACATGCTTTCATCAGCTATGCTTGCATAATTTGAATTAGCTACATCATCTATAATGAGGATAACCTTTTCTTCTTTAGCCAACTTTGAGATTTTGTCCTTTAAGGATGAAGCATGTATGTATAGGATGACAGGCAAAGTATGTGCGGCTGAACTACCAAATTTTCATATGACCTGTCGTCTTTTTCTTCATATTATCAGGAAAATTTTCGTTTACTCATTTTCAAACATTTTACCAAACACGACATAAAATCAAAGCACTGCATCTCATTTTAAGAAAGCTGCGACTGTTTGGTATGAAATTCTAGCAATTTGTGAAGTACAACACCAATAGAAAGAGAGGTAGTAAAGCCTGACCTATTGTTAGAACTGCCCAACAAAAAAGGAGATTAACGTACTAAATGTGCATTCGTCACATTAATGTTAGTTTAAAAATAAATGTGTAAGAAGAGAACCAATCAACTTAGAAAAGCCATTTCTTTCTTTTTTTTTGATGAAAAAAAAATTGAAATTTTATTAGCTGTCTAACAAATCCGCCATTAGAAATGAGACAATAAAGTCTGGAGGATCTTTATTATGACTCCTACTCACCCCTGAAGTACTAGATACCTCTAAACTAGTTAAATTCCTCACAATGTCCTCATTTAGAGGGTCTAAACTAGATAAATCAACATCTACACTCAAATTCTTAATTATGAAAGCACAAAAAAAAAAAAAGAACGTACAATTGGACCAGTCCGGCCAAAAGGAGAAAAATTTTAACTTGCGGCTGTTTAATTTTATACTATTGGTTCATGGAGTACTTTAGAAATATGGAAATCAATAGTATCCTTATCACAATACGTTGTGTAAAAGAAAGTCTTTGCCACAGCCAGAAATGTTTGCTTGATATCAGACGGATTGCCTATTGCCGAGTTTTGAAGTACTAATTGCACAAGTGCTTGCATATCTTCTTCTACCTCTTGTCTTTTGAAGCTACCATTGCTATTTTCAGCATCAAATGCCTGACCAAGTCACAACACACAAAAGAAAAGAGTGAACAAAATGATGTTGGGAAATTAATCAAAATTTAGGGATGCATTTATTATGATGATGCATTTTTCTTTTTCTTTTTCTTTTTAATTTTTCTAGTAGGAATGGATGGGATTTAATAAGTTGTCAGTGGACAGGGGAATTAGAACCCACTTTCTCTTTGATTTCATAGTCAAGTGTTTAAGCCAATTAGGGTTGGCTCAGTTGGCAAGACTAGAAAGCTTTGCTGAAAAGAAGCCTAGGTCCAAAATTTGGTGTCAGTAGTTCCTCACTGGTAGCCAATATGTAAGAGAATCAAAGTGTAAACCCTCGATGAGACGTGTGACTTGCCTTGACTTTAGAATAGGCAAACCAACCCTTCTCTTAAAACATTTTTCTACCGAGCCAAAAGAGGAAAACAAAAAACTAACGAATAATGGTCAATGTATGTGTGGCTAGTGCTAGAGGCAGGGGGAGTATTTCGTAAGGTCATTTCCCCTAAATTTGAGAAAATACCTGAGGAATATGTACATGGATGAGTAGCTTAGGCTACATGGTTACATGGCTCGTTTATATAGTTCGTGGACCCATTACTGCATGGCTAATTTAGTAAGATAAAACTAGAGGTTTTAATCATAATTCAATTGTATTGACTCATTCAAACTTGTCTATTAATAATTGGATTTGGATATATAATAAATATTGAATGCTATAAATGGGTAACTCAATTAAAACTATTTAATTGGTGTGCAGTGAGTTGACTCATATCACCCATTTGTACCTATATAAAAATAATTGCACATTTAAACTCAATTTTTGGTGGGTGTAATGTCAAACAACAGGCAAAAAAAGTAGAATTTTAAAAGAGTCATAAATGGATAATTGACTATACCTGTATCCATTTAATAAGTAGGTATAAGTGAGTTGATCTATTTATTAAATGAGTATAATTGGGTCGATTCAATTATACTTACTACCTAATTATGACACACCTAAATCCACCCAAATAATCCATTTTGATACCTCTAGATAAAATCATCTTGCACTTTTTTTTTGGTTAAAAAATAAAAAAAAAGCCACTATAGAAAAGTCCCTAGTGATTTGAAAACATACAATCTGATATCTTATGGTTTGAGATAAATTGAAAAGACGACGAAAATTATCGAAACTAACGTTTTTGAGGTACAAGTGCTTATTTGCAACTAGTGTTACCTAAAAACAATTTTTATAACTAATTTATAGTTGATATACCTATTCTACCTCTTACAGGAAAGCTCCATATGATTAACCCAACCTATAGAAAAGTCTCGTATAATTTCAAAATATACAAACTGGATTTGATATGAAACTTTTAGGAAATATATTGAAAACGGAGTAATGCTTCTTGAGAGAAATCAACCACCTATCTTATGCACACTACTTTTATGGTATGGTAAAAGTTTTAAATTTGACTTTTTCTATTATAATATTATCTTAGAAGGTCTTTTTTTAAGAATTTAAAGTAAGAATTTCAATATTTTTTCTTTGTACAATGTGAAGAAAAATTTTGCAAAATAGTTGCTTATATCTTTCTTAAACTCTTGAGTGGGGAGCAGAACTAGGCCTCACAATACTTGTATAAGATTTGTAAGTATTCACAAAAAGCGAAAGTAAAATTGTCAAGATCGAAAAAACCATCAAAACGATTGTTGTACTTTACTTGTGCAACGGATGATTATGGGTTTTTTTATTTGTGATCATGGAGTTACAGATATTAACCAAATTAGAACAATTGTTTTATGTGTCAAAGTTGTGAATATTATATTTTTTGAAATCACAAGGGATTTTCCTATAAGTTGACTTAACCACATGAGGCTTTTCATCTACCCACATTAATTTTAACATTTGCGTTGCCTTCTCAGTTTAGTTCAAACTACAAGACGTCAAATTTTGTGTTTTAAAACAATAGAGAACTTTCTTGTATATTCATTTAACCACAGTGGCTTTTATGTACTTTTAACCTTTTTTTTGGGTATGTAGAACTAGCTTAAATTTCAATACTAACCTTTCTGCTCTTAGATTCATGAAGTTGGTGGCAAATTTTGTTGATGAGTTTAGACAACCGGTAATGCTCCAGCTGGGCTGCTATGTGATCAGAAGTAATACGACCAGCACAAAGATTTATTGTGCGCACAAGGAGTTCTGCTTCCTCTCCCCACTGAAACTTCTCAGTGTTTGTCATCAACCAACTTTCCCACTGTACAAATTAGGTAAAATAGATTTACAAGAAAACTGAGATAAAAAAAGAAAAAGCAAAGCATGAAAAGATGATGGTAAACTCACAGCTTCAAATAATTGTTGTCTGATGTCTTTCCCTAGCTCTTGTGCTGTATCTGTGGACAGCTGGTGCAGAAACTCTAGCAAATTGCTTAGAAGTCGTTGATCTACCTCAGATCTGAAAGAAATTTAAACGACAATTAATTATGGTGTGCCTCTCTCCATGATGAACAGATGCTTTTTGAATTTGTAACCAAAAAAATATTTTAATTACAAATTCTGTTCAAAAGAATACAGGACTAAATAATAAAGTTTTAAATTTCTATTTTGTACAAAAAGTTGGAAGAGTTTTATTCCATGCAAATCATTTTCAACAATGGAACAATATTCATGTCAAATTTTATTAGCATCATAAAAGTTGCAAAAAGGTTATGGACTAATCTTGCATACATTGACAGTGTATACATTATCACCATTAAATATATGACAACTAATCTGAATTTGAATTTTAAATCCAAAAATTACATACGTGTCATGTATCTAATAGTAATAGTGTATCTATTGTCAGTGAATGTAAGATTAACTTAAATGTTATTGATTGATAATAATGAACATAGATTGAATACACTAGCTGTAATGAAAAATAATTAAGCAAGTAAACTTTAAATTACCTGCATCCTGTCATTGTGCCTCGAGCATGGCTTTTAAATCCCATTAAAAACATTTTCTTTTTGTCGAAAGATGTGGCATTGAAATAAAATTTGATCATCTCACAAAAAATTAACGATTTTGTCCATGCTATTCGCTCCTTCGATCTTTCTGGCTCAAATATGCTCGCCATAGCAACAAAAAAAGCATGCTTAAGGAATTGTATGCTTATCCCATGATCGACAAGATTGCATTTCTTGTACCACCTAATAATGGGAAAAGGGCAGAGAGTTAAGAGTAACTATAAAACAAAAATGAAACCAACCAAAAAAAAAAACTTAAATGAAAGGATGAATATTTTTTTAGTCCATATACTGTTGAATATCAGTCCATTGATTGAGGTGCTGAAGCTGGCATTTGTTGTAATCTCCTTTTGCCAGTTCAAGATATACAGTATTGCTGATTTCAGGCATCCTAAACAGTTGTAGGAAAGCTCGTGTTAGTTTCATTTCAAGCTCTATAGATCTTTGACAAGTCACAATAAAATGTTATCCAAGATATCAATAACTCGTAATAAATTCATAAAACCTTAAGATTTTTTTTCTTTCAAAAATAAAGGCAGTCCTAATTAATGTTAGATAAATACTTAAATGCTAAGTAAACCTCTATACCTTTTGTTTTTTTTAAACCTCCACATCCTTTGCTTTTTTTTTTCATCGTTTTTTTGAGACTTAGATTCACTAATTGCGAAGACAGCGATAACTTTTCACTATCAACAAACAAAATGAAAAATCAAGAGAAAAAAATATAACAAATTAAGATGACGTTTAAGGAAAGGCACCTGTATAGTGTTTTAGCGATCCATACATCATCTGCACCACCATATTGTTCCACATAGAACCTAGTCTCAACACGAGGTAAGCTGGCATACCATGGCACTTCCAATGCATAACTTACCTATGATTTCATAGACCATTTTTTTTTGTTATTAAAATAACCAAATAAATAAAGGCCAAATACTTTTTTTTTTAAAACTATTTAGAGATACATTTATTACCTCGCTCGGAATATCTTTGGCAATTATCCATTTATCTAGATAATTACCGCAAGCTAGCCAATTTTGTAAAAAGTTGTAGGCAAACTCTCTAGCCTCTCCAAGAATCTTTTCTCCTGGAAAAAGAACCTGAGAAGCCCTATAAAAGTTGAATATTGGGGTTGCTGCCTCTATCATTTGACCAGGATAACAAGAAAACTTGTCATCCTTTTTGAAGTTTTTGAACACCTCTGTGAAACAACCACTAATTTTTAATAATGCTCGTTCTGGATTTCAGATTTGCTCCCAAAAAATAAAGGAAAAAAATAGATTTTGCTGTTGTCCTTGGATTTTAACATGTATATGACAATGGTTTAATTAATCTACCTCAAACTCACCAGGGCTCATGTCATATCCATGTAGTCTAAGAAGTCTGAAACCCATGGATGTGTCATCAATATCACTGAAATTTGTGCCCCTCCCACTGAAAATTCCATCTTCAGTCCAACATCTGAAATGTTCATATAGGGGATTCCAAATTCAGTCCAACACAAGAAAATATTGCTTTCGGAAAACAATTATGATAAAGCATTTAAAGAAATGGAAAACAATTCCTTGGAAATGAATAGAGATAAATACTGTGAAATCTTAATTTGATTCATTCACCTATAAACGTGACTTAAGCATTCATCGATCTCTGACATGAAATAACGAGAAATTCCTAGTCGTTTCAGCCGATCCACTGCAAATAGTCGGGCATATAGGTCTACTGGATAACATGGCGGTGCTGAAGCGCAAAATTTTCAAGTATTAAAATTAAAATAAAGAAAGAAAAATGTAAAATCAATTAGTTGTCTCTCTTTATATTATACCTCTTAGATACTCAACTTAGAAAAAGAGAAAAATGGTGTACCTCCTCCATTGAAATTTTGAGTGACTTCCGTAATAAAATTGAGACACTGCTCATCTTTGGTCTCTATGAATGCAAAAGCAGTGGAGGCTGGAGATGTCAAGAATGACCCGTTATGACATTTTAGCTTCAGCACCTTGTCCCAGTTTAAATCTGAAAATCCTTCCAAGCTATAAAGTAGGGAAGTTGGAAGTGCATGCATCAAATCTTTCGGTATCCTATAAATTCATGATATATAACAATAGCAGTTAGTGTGTAATTTCAATATTGAATGTTTAAATGAATATATTGATTGTTGTTTGAAAGAATTGTAGTTTTGGTCCTTAATATTTGACCCGTGTGCTACATCGGTCCTAATGGCTTGTGTAAAGAAAATTTGGTCCCTAAAGTTTTTTATTTTGGGCATATTCAGGATAACTAATGGAAATTCAAAAATGACTAATGGTCAACATCAAATTACTGTTAGTCAACAACTTTCAATTTGTATTTTGGTGCCTCGTATTTTGATTTGAATCATTACATTCTCTTAAAGTTTAAATAATAATATTAAGGGTTTTAAGATGAAATGAGATGCAAATTAGAATGAAATTATATTAAATAGGTAATAATAATCTAAATAAATTTATTTTTTCTTTATTTTATTTATTCATGCCACTAATATCTTATATAACCTACCATGTGAATGCACACACTAACAACTATTGCCACTTATTTTGGAGCGATTACTGCACCTTTCAAGTTTGAGATCTCTTGCTGCACATATTTCTTTCACGAATGGCGTATCTGAGGGAATTTCAATGCCCAAATTTCGGGCTCGCTCGAGAAGGGCAGGAAATATAACTTCAAACCCACAAATCATGCTCTCCACATTTTCGAGCTTACACATATCCAATAGTGTCTTGATGATTGCAATTCCTAAGTCGTACAATGTAATGGCATAAAATGTTAAGAGTTTAAACGCATGCACGATTTTATCCCGCAATGTATGCACTAAAACAAAGAATATAAGTTATAATATTTTTCGAGAATTCAGTTTTAGCTAAGGTTTTTCTCAGGTTCCAATGCTAACTCTTTGGTGCGTACCTTCAGCAATCTTGTCCTCATGAGTCGTCCATGATTTCAAAGCAATTACACAAGCCAGTGTGTTGAGTAACCTATCATATGGACAAAAATGGGCTTCACCCCATGAGCCATCCAGAAGTTGGTTGTCTATAATCCATTGGAGGCTTGATGGAAATTGAGGATTATCACTTCCATTAACATCTTCAATAAGTGCAATCCATGCTGTGTCGTATGCTGAGATGGTAATCCGTCCATCATCCATGGTTCTTAACAATTGCTTGATATGAGAGATGGAATCCTGTATCATGCATAGAAATTTTTTAAAAAATTAGCAATGGAGAATATATGTTTAATGTCGATAGGTGTAAATTTGTTGCTCCAGCGAAATAAGACGAAATTATTAATTATCCTACCTCGTGATCATTGCCTCTAATGCCATCATCTTCATGTGTTTGCTTGACTACGGTGTAATTTACACAGATTAGTAATCAATATTGACCAAAAGGCATTTTAGTTTTCCAAAATCTTTTGCCATATGTTTGAGGAAAATACTCAAGTAGAACCTATCTACGGGCTCCTTGCAGATCATGTGACATGTTCAGAACTACAAGATATCAGGATATTTTGTTGAGTTTTACGAGCAAACCTGGGATTTGAGCAACGCGTAGAGGTTTGCAAATTACATGGTAATTCTTGAGCAACTCTTTTGGATTAAAAGCCCGAGCTCCTGGCATAACATCTGCAGCTGAGTGAGTTAGAAATCAGCCAGTTAAGGGTTTTTAGTGTTGGGATCCAAGCGTAGAACAAATGATTATTGAAACATCAAATACATAGTAATTCAATAATAAACAAGCCATAAGTATGAAAGATAAGTTATACACAAGATTTAATATGATTTGGCTCCACAATTGAGGTTACGTCCACAAAAAGAAACTCATTCACGTCCACAAAGAGAAACTCGTTCTTTATTATGAGATAAAAATCCTATACAAGAATACAAACTTGAATCCAAACCCAACCCTTATATATCATTTCTCATCTTTCAAGAATCCTCTCTCACCCCAAGTATAAGGTTATATATCATCCTTGTGTACCACTTTGTAATATGTCAATATCCACCTATTTATAAGTTACATTACTTGGCCAACACCCAAGTAACAACAGGTAATAATTGCTAATTTCCAATCTCATACAGATTAAGCAATAACTTTTAATTCTTAAACTCATACAAATAGGAAATTTTTTGGCTACGACTTCAGGTGACTAAAACAATTAAAATATTAGTTACTTCCACATGAAATAAAAAACTTACCTAAAAAAAATTAAGCCAATTTCCTAACATTTAGTTCATAACCTGATACCAAAACTAAAGAATCGTTGATAACCTGATACCAAAATCAGGGTCCAATAACACAATTGTTGTCATAGGTAAAATAACTGGAGCGCAGCATGAAATTCTCGATGTTCGATGCTCCTATAAATTACTTTAAATGCCTAAAAATTTCAGCATTTGAAAGACCTTTCATGACTACTTGTGTGGTAAGTATTTGTGACCTTTAACCCAAACACTCAAAATGCTGGACATTTAGTTTGACTACTTATTGAGATCAACAAAATTGTGGGTTGTTGTCTATTGCACTTAATTGCCTTGAACAAAAGAAAATTGGAAAGCTTGTATGATCATCCGTGCCTCTTTTTTTTTTTTTTTTTTTTTTTTATAGGAAAGATCATTTTATTTAATAAATCTGTATTAATGACAAAAAATATATCAAACAAATATAGCACAGATACATATAAATCATCCCTGCCTTAGCATATATATTGTGATGTAGTAACTCAAGTATTGATGGAAGCCGGCCTCTTCAGTCTAAGTTTTGTCTAATTTTGTTCATTTGGTGTAATTCTTACATTATTTGGTGTAAACATATTTTTTGTCGCTTTCCGAAATTTTGACTTTTCAATAATAGAGGCTCCGGATCCAATATTGACGGCAAATACAACACACAAAAGGCCCTTCTAATTAAGTTACAACATTTTATTGCGTGCGTGTGCAAAGCCATCAGGAAAACAAATATAGTAGAAAAACTCGCGCTTTGTGAAGAAATATGAATGGATTTTTTTCGTCATAAATATGGATGGATGTTAATAAACTCAAACCCAGGTACCATGTCAATGAAACTGTATACCGAACTCAACATGCAATGGACGAAAAGGCCACTCATCATTTCAAGTTTATTTGCGAGCCCTGGGAAATCATTGTGCAACTTTGTTCCCTCGTGAATAAAATATGAGAAATTAAAGTCTTTTTAATAGTCGGCAAACAAGTGAAGGAACCCTTGAAGGAGCTATAGCAGAGAATTAGAATGTTTGAAGTTACAGTCTTCCTTTTTAGAAAATTTCCATGGTGGAGTTTACCCTTCCACCCTAACTATCAGACATAAAATTCGAACCTTAAAATTTCCATATTGGAGTTGATAGAAGGTGGGGGGGGGGGGGGGGATGGGTTGGGTGATATGGGGGGAGGCAATATAAGTAAGAAGTTTCGGGTTCAAATTCTTCTGCTTACATTAAAAAAAAATTAAAAAAAGTATTTTTTTAAAAAAAAAAAAAAAGAGTTGATAGAAGGAATGTATATATCCAAATAATAGTACTCAACAAAATTTCGAATATTCTTTTCATTCCAAATCTAATATGTCTGTTTTGGTTTAGATCTACGTCTACTCCCATTTCCTTAAATGAAAAAAAATAAAACTCTTTGTATTGTTAATTTCCCTTCAATTGATAGTCCCAAACTTTTTGGGATCACTGCCTATCCCACTTTTGCTGTAATACTAAAATATCATAGAGAAATAGAATAATAATCAATAGATACAACATACTCTCTATCACATGAAATATCTATCAAACAGGTATAAAATAAAATATCATCCATCAAAGCATTCCTTAAGTATGTCTAAAGTATACAAATCTTAAAGTACAACTCTCTATATTTCACTTTCTATGATAGAATTAATACTTATTCCAATTATTATTCTACAAATACCAAAAAAGAAAAAGAAAGAAAATAATTGCACAAACTTGACCAAAAGTCCAAGAAGAAGAATGAAGTGCGGCTTAATTGGTAAGAAACTTCACTCAAAGTCAAGAAATCATGGGCTTAAGTTATTAATCCCTATTGATCCGCTTTTGAAAAGAGAAAAAAAAAAAAAGCCCAAGAAAATGAAATATTGTGAATCTTATACCATCACTCACGCTGCTTGAAATATTTACTTTAACGAAAACAAGACTTATTCTTTCATAATTTAAAGAAAAAAAATAGATGGCCAAGTCAAATTGTAACTTATATTTGTAAATAAGGAATTGATATTCGTACTCCCATTTTAACCTCTTGCACTCAAATAACATGTTTTCAAAGGGTGCAAGAGGGAAGTGCAAACATCACTTCCCTTGTGAATGCTATCATTTGTGACGATAGCGTCTGATTTTGAAATAAGAAACTTTGAGGCTCAAATGGGCGCTTCAACGATCGCATAAAGCATAGGTCCCAACTGTAAGGGAGGACGCCCTTCAAAAATACCAACCATCCACCTAATTGACCGATGGACAGTTTGCCTCAAATTAATACATTCTTTATGAAAAAATTTGCAAATGAAAACAGCAACTAAATCAAGAGCAACTACATCATGCTAAAAGAAAAGACTAAAAATAGAGAGGGGAGAAGAGACCAACTTACGGGTTCCAACTGAATCAAATCTTGAAAAGGCATGAAGAGTCGGGTTGCGAGCAAGTGAAGAAGAAGAAGTCCACTGGAGAGAGGCTAGAGTCCACATTTTTTGCTACAAATTTATTTGATAAATTTGTTACAAAGGGAACAGCTAAAGAGTGAAACAAAATTGGGAGAAAGTAAATAGGAGAAGTACTCCAGTAATATTGAAGCTCTTGATTCATGTTGAGGAGCTCTAGTAATTGTACTTTATATTGGTTGAATCATGATTTATTTTTGTTAGTCAAAGTGTCCAGCTGGGAAAATGCTCACATGTATTGAAATGGGAGCTTTCAATGTACATCAGAAAATTATGCATCCTTCTTGCCAACAATTAAAACAGGAACAATGAGGAGTCGATTCATAATATGTGATATGCCCAGGTCAGAGTTTCCCACGCAACTTGCCTTGTATGATAAAAACACTTTCAAGTTTTTTCTTTTTTATTTTTGATAGAAAACAATAATGGTTTTATTAATTAGATTGTAAGAATTCGTCCAACACCATTTGATAAAAACACTTTCTAGTTCATCACAATCATTTTTTTGTTTTCCAAGCCAAAATGGACAAGAACACCAATCATTTAGGAAACATAAATTTATCAAAGATTTCGTTCTTGATTGTCATACTTGTTGAAAATCAATTATCAGTGAAATTGAATGCTTGAACATTGGGACAAATTAAACTTGACCACGTAAAACATTGAATGAAGACTCACGCACCCTTAGGATTCAAACCAATTTTTTTTCGGATAAAAGTTTAGATGAGTTTGATTCCAGTTCTCACTACAAATCAGAGCATGCTTCTGGAACTATAGGTCACTTATATGGGTTTTTACAGATCGTTCATCAATAAAACCTTCATATCAGTAGCGGAGTTTGATCAAGCTAAAACTTGACAATGCATCAAAAAGGACAATTAAATAGTTAGAGCAAAAGATATGGGTGTGACTACAAATAACATGATTGCTCCTTTTAATTTAAGAAAAAGGTCCTTTTTAGCTTAGAAAAGATGGTATTTATTAAGAAGTGGTGAAAAGGGAAAGGATAATTGAATCTTGAACTTTTAATTTTCGAAACCTAAACCTTAGCTATTAAACCACAGTCTCTTTAGGTGCTTCTACGATTCAATTGCCAGTCTAGTATGCATAATAATTTTCGTGCCCAAAGCTATTTAGCATTTTCTCTGGCCTTCTCTTCTTCATAAAAGAACAAATATTTCCACCTTTCAGTGTGCATATCCAATAGAATTGATTAGTGACAAAGGGTGACAGTAGTATAGCTAAACCTCAAGGTTTAATTTGTAGTTTGGTCAAACTGAAGGAGGTAAATATAATTAATCCTTTGTATTTTAATTTTTTAGTACGTGATATCTAGGCATCTTGAATCATTGTAGTATACTAGTCAATCTATGGAACTATCTAATTATTCCTGTTTTCCTTCCCTTTTCTTTCTCTTTCTCTTTTTCTTTATTTCCATCAACCTTGTGCTCTCCGTTTTGGAATAAAAGTTCAATCCGATTAGAGCAGACGTGGTAGAATAGGGCTTTTGATTTGGGGCTGCGCATCTTGGTTCTAGCAGCACCATCTCCGTACCTTCCTTCCGTATCCGAGGTGGGCTCTTTCATCCGCACGTGATTACTTGAAGGACTTTGCAATTTTTATAAATTCTTAAAGGAAAAATCACCATCCAAGCCAAGCCGTTACTTAGAGGAAATCAAACCGGTTAAGATCTTTTCCATCGTAAACGTATAAAAGTCAAATATACAACAAGAGCCGATGAAGATGTCTGTTGGAATCTGATTATCTTTATTTGGTCTACAGTTAATGTGAGAAGGTCAATTTACAAACTAGACTAGCAATAGAATCGCAGACAATTGAATCTTTACCTAATTCTTAGAAAAGAGTCTTCTAATAGTTGAGAAACTCAATTAGCCCTGTGCTAGCACGATTTCAGTTGAGTCAAATGTGTCTGTCGTCAGCTTACAGCTCCAATGACGGGTCCAATATTTGCTTCTTTCCGTTGCTTGCCGAGTCAAATAAAGCTGTTTAAGGTGCTGTCAAATAAAATAATTTTACTTGTTTTATTTTTTTTTTGGATAATTTATCTTCTTTAATAAGAAGAGTATGTAATTATTGCAAGCTATCTATGAATGAACTTACAACATGGCCCTCACATTTAACTTCTATATCTATGATTGTGTGTTGGTATTGGAAAAACTGTTGTATTTAGCGGTGTTTTTGAAAAACATGCTTCTAAAAATTTCTAACCACATCTTTATTTTCAATCATATTTTTATTTCACGAACACATTTGGCAATAAAGGTACTACAGTGAAGGTACTTGAACTTTTTACAACTGGTAAAATGGAAAACCTAATAGAAATTTTGGGACATTTTATAAACTGGAAACATTGTGTTAATAATGGAACGCGAGGAATACAATAAATGAACAAACGCGCAGGTGAGCAAACTTTGAACTACAAGTAGCCCAATTAAATACCAAGTTAATTAATGTTAAAGCCCAATCCCATATGTCGATTTCTTGATGAGTAAGTTTCTTATATACAGTAAAAAAAATTTAAAGTCTTAATACGACAATATTAGTTATTAACATAAACTTTAGATTTGAACTTAAGACCACAATTTGATCAGTAGACTAAGCGTCATCCACTGGTCCACAGAAAATCTAGCCGTCATATTTCTTAGGGTTAATTACACTTTGCCCCCTTGGACTTGAGTTTTTGAAACACTTTGCCCCTCTAAACTCCAAATATATACACTTTACTGCTTATGGTCAACCTTTTGACAGGATTAAGATGAAGTTATACTTTCATGATCATCAAAAAATCCTTGGCTAATTCTTAAACACACATAATAATTGTAGCATAATAAATACATATTTCTCTAATAGGTGTTAAATGCATCTAAACATAATTACACAATGCATTTCTATCTTTTAGCCTTAAAATGAATTAGATAATTCACAAAAAAGAAGTATAACTAACTCAATGCATTATGTCAATGCCGATAGCAATACTTATTTTAAATGAAATAAAATTAATTGGTGCATTTGGAATGAAAATTATTTGCTTATATTTTTTATTGTGTTTTATATGAGATAAAAACATGATTAAAAATAAAAATGTATTGAAAATGTATTGGAGAATTTTCAATTTTTTTTAAATGTAGAATGCAAACAAAATACAAAGCAAGGTATGAATGTGATATAAAATTATTAAATAGCATGTTACTGACTCGTGAGAATCTTGTGACAACTACAAAGTAAATGAAAATTATCAAAACTAATTCATTTACAATTTTAAGGAAGAAAGATAAGCGATGGAAAACTTGTGCAGACATGGTTTCAATCATAATCGTATGTCCTAATTTTCTAGGTTTAAGCTTAAGGATGAAAAAAAACAGAGAGTACTCCCATTTATCTTTACTCTTTTGGTTGTTGTTGGAGTAGGAATTTACAAAAGGTAAATAACTTCGACAGTCACTTAGTTTTTTACTAATGAAATATTTCATCCCTCAACTTTAAAAAGTATTTATTAAATCCCTCAACTTATAAATTTGGTCAAAATGATCCCTCCAAGCAAAATCTAAGCATGATGAATTTCACTTTGACCGATGAAGTTTCAGTGTCATGTCGATGTTCTCCCGTTAAATTTGAAAATAACGTATGTTAACCTTATTTCTAGTTTAACTATTTAATTTATTATTGTAATCATATAGCATCGTACTATATGTATAATTTTTGTATGTCCATAGGCGTAATTTTTTGTACTTCTTTCACTTTGTGCCAAGAAAATGATACTCACGTGTTAATACTAATTTTGATAAATTCGTCTTTTATATATATATATATATGTATGTATATTGTCCTCAAAAGAGGAACAAAGACACAAGAATAGAAGTTGTTGTAGAAGGCTAGAAAATTTCTTCAGACAGTACTAGCGTTAAGAAAGGTGAAGGGGGAAGCCCTTTGTTACTTTCAATCAATGGCCCAGTTTGGAAGTGCAAGTTTTTAGCAAGTTTGTTTTCTATAAGTTTTTTAACAACTTTTACTACAGGTATTCCAAAAAATTTCACAAAATTTTTTACCTACACACTTCAAAATACCCAAAACACACAAAAAAAATTCCCTCCCTTTTTTCTTCTACTTCCTCTCCCACTCCAACCCACTACCAGATTTTGCAGTAAAATTTTAGATAAATTTTAAAAAAGCTCAGGTTACAAACAGGCCCAATCTTTTTCGTTCTGACTCGTGACTACCCCATCGGCAGCTAGGAGGCCCAATCTTTTTCGTTCTGACTCATGACTACCCCATCGGCAGCTAGGAACCCTTGGCTTGGAATGGAATCGCGAAGGAAGCTGTTAGATGTCCAGCCAATCGTATGGTCTGGAAATGGAGTATGCACACGTTGCTTCCTGTCAGTAATGATATTGATGATTAGACCACAATTGAGATTGATTGTTGAGTAGAAAATATGGGGAAAAAAAAAACGACAGAGAGAGAGAGAGAGAGAGAGAAGAAGAAGAAAAGACTTGAAATGAAAATATGTGGTGCCATCCAGGTTTGACCAGTTGACTGGCTCAGACTATTACTAATACCTGGCTGGCACATATCGCAACGATCGGTCGGTAACACGTAATTTTTTGTACTTCTTTTGCTATCTTAGCTGACGCAGTTGTAACTAGCTCCTCCTTTGCACTTTTTGTCTGCGATTACTGCACAATCGACTTTGACTTGTTACCATGATGATTCTCCATTAAAGAACATATTGCAGCTCAAACAAGGTTGCCCCAGACGCAACTCGTGAAAGAAACTTTTTCCTAACTCCTACCTACTTGTTGATACTGAGTAGGGCGTCTACCATGTCACTTCTGACAAAAAAGAGTAGGGCGTCTACCATGTCAATTTTCAGTAGATTAATGTCGTTTTCATTTGTTTATTTATTGAGATAGAGCAGACAATAAGGTGATTTGGTTGATTTGAAATTTTTAACGCTTCATTGATAGTGATTGGCTTGAAAATTAGTGATAATAGTGCAATGGCGTCTAAGGTGATAGCTCTTGCTAGCTCATAAGTTGATTTGGTTGCCAACATAAGTTAGCTTGGTAGAACGGATTATTTTATCACAAAAGATCATGTACTAAAATTTTGTTATTGATGTGAGGACTGTGTTAATAAATCACGTGTTTTAATTTTATGACTGATGTGAGAGGTATGTTAATCAATCATATGTAAAAATTCTATAAGCAACTTATACTTTTGGAGGTATTTTTCAGATTTCAAGTGGTGATAGAAGCCAAACTCATTTATACTTTTTCTTACAAGAGG